CAAAAAACCATCTTAATTAAAGAGTTAAGAAAATATCAATGATTTATAGTGTTGTTCCCTGAAGGGGTACAGATTACTGATATAAGGACACATCATCTGTTCAGGCGTTCTGAAGGATTACCTCCGTGAACTTCCCGAGCCACTCTTCACCAAATGTCTGTACCAGATGATGATTGACGCCCTCAGCGTCTGCCTGCCAGATGATCCAGAAGGAAATGCCAAGCTGATGTTTTCTATACTAGATTGTCTACCCAAGGTTAATCGGGTAAGAAGTGCAATGCATACTCGACGCATCAGACATTTAATCTTTATTACGTGCGTGCGTAACTAATGTGACGATTGGGTTTCTGACATGCTGTGAATGTCGGTATATTACATTGTATTTTGTATTTGACTTTATGTGGTTTCAGCATACTTTAATATTCTTGATGGACCACCTGGCATTAGTTGTGTCTCAGTCAGAGCGTAACAAGATGTCTCCACAGAATCTTGCCATTTGTTTTGGTCCAGTCCTGATGCTGCAGAATGAAGAAGGAAAAGAATTAGACTTCAATCAGCCTATTAGTGTGCTCAAATACTTGCTGGAGATCTGGCCTACAAAGTCAGGTAATGTTCAATTAGTGCAAAAGGAAATGAATTGATAATTTGACTTGCAGATTAAATGTTTTCAGCTTTCCCAAGAATGTATTTTAAGAATTTAAGGCTGTATTTTAAAAATTCAAACAACCCTTATAAAAACATTTCCACTTCTGTCTGTAGACACAGACTTGTGATTGAAGATGATTTTTTTTGTAGATTTAATATTTTGTGACCGTGGGTTCGAATCTCACTCTAGCCATGGATGTTTGCGTTTTTCTGTATTGTGCTGTCCTGTGTACAAGTAGAGGCCTTGCGACAGGCCGATCCCTCGTCCAAGGAGTCCTACCAAATGTCTATAGAACAAGCCAACAAAAATTTGGGACCCGCAGTGCTCAGGCACTTGAAGAATGGGTCGTTCCCAGTATCCCAGATTTAATATTATGACTAATGAGTAAAGAAAATTCAGTAATTAAGTACGTTAGTTGAAAGATTATTTCATTACAGGGTGACTTATGAATCTTCAGGAACTTGGTTTGTCTTCTGAAAATAAACCTTCATAAAGAAAAGATCATATTCTGTATTTGTATTCTCTCTGTGATGTGCAGGCTATGCTATACTTCTTCACTAATTCTTGCCATTAAATTGTTATAACTATTCCTTCAGTCATCTGCTTTTTTTCTCAACCCATAGTAAAATAATGAAATTTAGTTGCTACCAACAGAAAGGAAGAGCACCCAGCCTGCTCGTCTACTCCACCAATCAGTACCGTCAAATCCAACTTACCACCTACTGCCTGCCCTATGTAAAGCTTCCAAGAACTCCCAACCACTACACTTTCACCCTGAAGATGGCAACCGCAGTGCTTGTCGAAACATTGGCTAATTCTCAACATTCAACGCAGCTCATCCTCAAAAGCCACAGTTACACAAGAACAAAATACTCGATTTTTATTTGTTGTTGCCTGGTCAAGATTGTAATTACCATGAGAACAGAAGTGAGCCCAGATCATCAGGCCGTATTTTCACAGACAGTTCGGGAGGTCTTTTCTCCTTCTCTCCACCTGTCGGCAGCTTCTCAGCCGCCTCGCCTTCCATCCTTGGCAGTGAGCAAACCGCTCCCGCCGTCGGTGTCAGTTTCTTCGGCAGTGGGAGGAGTCCCGTGGCAACTCGGGCATGGAGCACGGGGTTCACCGGTCTCCAGGGGCCGGAAATCGGCAGCCGCGTCTCCAGCAGGATCTCAACAGCAGGTATTCCGAAGGCTCTTTGTAGTGCGCTCATGTTAACACATTATTGCGAGAGACAATTCCCCTATGTTCCCCCCATGACAGCCATGCTTTTTGTGTCATGCTAAATTATATTTAATTTACCATATTTCTTCAATTCTAAGATGCCATTGAATGTAAGACGAACCATGAGTTCAGGAATTTTAAAATGTTTATATTTAATTTACCATATTTCTTCAATTTTAAGACGCCATTGAATGTAAGACGAACCATGATTTCAGGAGTTTTAAAATGTTTAAAAAAAAGTCTTAATATCGAGGAAATACAATAGTACTCAGTAAATGATAGAGGCTGATGGCTGTATTTAACATCGCACCAAGAAATGAGATTATAATTTTGCTTAAATATTTCTGACCCTTTTGCAGGTGGTAGTGGTATCATCACCCGACTCACCAACAAGTGAAGAATCTTCACCGTCTCCCTCACGAGAAACTGAAGAAGTGAAAAAGCCTCTTGTAAAATCATCAGCTGCAGTCACAGTGGGACTAACTCTGCAGCAACGTACAGCCACCCTGAGGAAGCACATTGGGGGTCAGCAGAAACACGCGCCATCAACGACAAGCTCTGACGGTGGCATACTCCAGGGAGTGAACGGTCTGCTGTCTTCAACAGCGACAGAACTTATCCCCAACGGGACAGCCGACGACTTGCAACAACAGATACAGACTCCAACATCATCGACTACTACAGAGGATTCACGAAAAGAAGCAACAGCAAGAGAAGCTGATGGAGAAGCAAGTGATGAAGAGAAGGAAGATGGTGATGATGAAGATGAAGATGACAGAAGAATGATGGGTATCGATGATGATGTCCATACCACCAGCAATGATGAAGAGGAAGAATGAATGCACTGATTACTGTAAGTGTGTTTAAATAACCTCTGATTATAACGAGATTTAGATTGTGAGGATCAAGGTTTTCACAGCGGTGATGATGATGATGATAATGATGATATTCTGGGTTTGGCACTGTGTAGACGTATCAGTAAATGCCAGAGAAACGTACCGTCTTGATCTTCGGGGCTGACGATGGAGACAGTACGTTTCCCTGAATCGTTGGCGTCTGCCAAGTCTTCATGGTGCCAAAACCCAGAAGTACATCATCAAGATTTAGATTGTTCTTGAATCTTTAAAAATTATTACACACAGAAATTAAATTTTAATGAGGAAAAACTTTAAATCTTGGTACATAAAATGCAGATTCTCTATGTGTTTGCAGTCATTATTTTATTTATATTATCTTTTTGCGTGAGATTTTATTCCTTCGGTAAGAATGTAAAATTCTTTTAGTCTGCTTCCTCGTTTGCTAAATTACCCGCATTTATGGATTTATATATAAATGACAGAATTTGTAACACTGTTTACAGCATTGTTCACAAACCGTATCATCAGAAAAGTGAGGAAAATCTACAGCCACTACCAAGAAGTCATCTTGGGTTTCATATTGGCTGGGAAAATCGAGCAGCAAGACACTTCGGATCGAAGTCTTGTCGCAACGTAGTGATATACTTGAGGTATCATATGAAGATGGAAGATCATGAAATCAGTGCACAATATACCTCATCCTATAACTCTTGTAATATAACTTGTTTAGTTTATCAATAAATTAATACGAAAAGTTATCTGCTATACAAACGAAAATGTAGGAAAAATTTTAAATATATTGTATGTCTGATTAGAAGTAATGAAAAGACGGTGATTAATGCTGCTATAGTACTTGTAAACAAATCACGAAGACATTTCTTATGTTAGAAATATGCTTTTTGTTATGTGTATCTGCAACGTAGTAGCTTAAGTGATAAGTTTCGTCTCTGTCGCTAGTGGAAAACTAATTACAGACTTGAAAGTAAAATGGTTGTTACCTTTCAACTAACAAATTGCTGTAGTTGAAGTCATTTTTCAAAACAAGGAAATTCAGTGGGCTTATTGACGGAAGGAAGTGCCTTGGGTCGGACAACTTAGGTTGGGATTCGAAGCTTGATACGGAAATGGAGGTCAGGCAGTACCTATGTATGAAGAATTGGTTGTTAAAAAATATGGCTTAGATTTTAAATACTGTTGTAGGCAATAATGTTATTGAAAATATCTGCAGTGGCATTGCGAATGGTAGAGAGTTTGTTGACATCCATAGCAAAAAGCACAAACATAAGACGAACAAAAAGGCATTCAAGGAACTTACATGTGGAAGGACATCAAAGCCTCACGCAGACAATCCGTAACCAAAAAAGTATTATGTACGTACTTTTATAAGTTTCAGAGGCTTTAGTTGTGTTGAAAATTTACCAAAAGAATTGATGTAAACTGTCATGGTGGTACACCTGCAGATTGTTGGAAAGTTAAAGAGGAATAGCGTGTCGAAGTGAAAAATATCCGTGACATCTGTTCTTATTATAAAGCAGGTTGAAAGGTTGAAATACGTTTAATAAGAACTGATTCTAAGCAATAAAACAATTATGTCGTTGTGAATAGTGCACAAAGTGGGGTTAGTGATGCTAGATAATCCTACTGAGAATGTCAGCATTTGCTTCAAGGTTACTGCAGTTTAATATTGGAGTGTTAAGACCATAAAATACCCAAATACTTACGAGATGAAACAACTAAAAATTTCTGGTCATGTAGGTTGGCTTTCTAAATACACATGTCTTCACAAAGTTTGTGGAAGTACTAATTTAAATATCCATCTTCAAATTTTCCTCTCAGCTGTCTTCTACTCGCTGCAACGTAGCACAGCCTATAACCAGTGTGTGTTTTAAATTAAACAAGGAATTGTAAAATATAAAATAAATTTAAAATTTGAAATCATCTGTACATAATGATGCTATCAATAAAATGTTCTTTGTACATTCATTCTTTTAAATTTCTTTGTAAATTCATGTCTGTTCCCTTTTAGTTTATTTTTTCTAATTTGAGTAAATTTTGTTCTATTTTTATATGAACATATTTTATTTATTTATCAGTTTTTGGTCTTTATTACTAGTTAATACAAAAGACTTTTTTCTCAAAACACTGAAGACTTCATATTACGTCTTACTGACGGTCATGCGTTGTTTGGTTAAATATGGTATTACTATAGACTCTTAAATGTCTACAGATAATTTAAATGCACTCAAAATTGGCTGATCATAATATTAAAACAGTGAAAGGAGTAAATTATAAGTGTGTTTCTACTGTGCTATTGAATGTAGTAAATAGTTTCTATAAGTTGTCTTTAAAACATTTTTTCTTCGAAAGAACTGTGTAATAAGCCTGCCCTGTCAGTGACTTGAAAGTTGTTTCATCTTGTATTAAATTCATGTTTAAAAATGCTATGTGTTTGATGGGAATTTGAAGAAGATAGTGTGTAAACTACCTGCTTATGTAGCGAGGTTCATATGCAACATCACTGCCATAATTAAGACATCTTCAGTACTGGTCCAGAATAGATAACAGAAATAAATGAACAAACTTTGTTAAATACAACTTCCAACTTAGACTGCATGTTAATAGTAACAAAACTATTTTAATGGTTCAATGCAGATCATGTGCTAAGTTATGGTCCTTTGGACAAGCTCATAATATTTTGGACTGATTTTATTATTTGAAATACAATACCATATTTATGGTTAAAGATTCAGTTCCTAATCTGAGGAGAGTTTTATTCAGTAGAAATAAATATCTTCCTGTTTACGATCCGTAAACAGAATTTGAGACTTTAGGTGCTCATATCAGTGAAGATGTTGATTGTGATCTTCTGACTTATGATGCCGTGGGGTCGGATTGGTGGTTACCAACGTTTCGGAACGTATTACCTCTACCTTTAACTTTGCCCTGAATATGGTAATATATTCCTCTGTAACATTGGTAACCCACGAGTATACGTGGTATCACGACCCAAACAGAATTGTTCTTGTGTAAAATATACTCGTAATATTGCTCATTGCTGTGTGAACGTAAATTTACACATTATTCACGTGTGTACGTAAGTTTGCTATATATCTTTCCGTTCACATGATAAGTTTTAGATATATGTTCTTTTTTTGAAATCTCATGATTATTATATATTATTATAATCTAATATACTGGTATAGCACTTATAGCCAATCCATTCACGTCACTCTGACATATTGATTTATACACTAACGAGGAGAGGTGATTAAGGTTATAATACCTTAGCTCTGTTCATTTCATTACCAAGCATCATGGTGTAGCATCTTAGATTTACATTCATTGAGAACATATTTAGTTTGAATCTTCTAGGTACCGACTATCATGTCTGAGTATTTCTGTGGATTTTCTTCGTCTCTGTAAGCGTATTCTGCGAAATTGGTCATGATTGCGTCATTACCAATTCTGCTCAATTTATGATCGTATCCAATTTCATTTGATACTACATAACCTTTGCAGTTGAAACAATGTCTTTAAGTAACCTAGGAACTAATCAGTTCATTCCATTGATAGAAACATAGTTGTTGGCCTTTATATTAAAAAGTGTACTTCTGTACATATTTTACTTTCAAGGAAAAAGGTTTCTTCGAGGATAGAGTGTTCATGTTGAAGATGGCTTCTTCTGGGTTGTTGCGCCGTGTAGTCTGGTAGAAGTTTAACGACGTTTCTGAAACGTCGGTAAACTTCTACCAGACTACACGGCGCAACAACCCAGAAGAAGC